TTTCAGCACAAGGTGGAAGGCATGGGGTCAGCCATCTCTCAGCCTTCCCCTGCAGAGCTAAGAGAATGTCTGCCCTAGTGTGGCTTCTTTCTTCCAAGCATACCAGTTGCATAACAGCATGGCAATGTTTTGCTTGGGCTGTTCCATAGGCTTCGGGGGCTTTGGGGGGATTGGTAGTTATGCTTTTGCACTAGATGAGGCCAATAAAGAAGTGGGGGTAGAGGGAGTTGTCACCACTCATCAAATTTCATGACACTGAGTAGCACCACCAAATCCATCAGTGTGCCCCTTATTGCATCCTGCCATGGTGTCATATTTACCCACTGCGACATGAAGGAGGTGTAACACCCCTGCCCATGCTTGCTGGACCACATGACTGTTGTCATGTGGACCCTGGTGCTTTTGGAGGGCAGAGATGACCTTCTTTGCCTAAAAACAATTGTGGCAATTTTGTCAAGCTGACATTGAGACCCTGGGCATGGGTTGACTTTGTGAATATTTATTCTTGTGCTTCAGCCACTGGGGAAGAGATACCTGCCTGGTGAAGGATGTAGCTGGAGACAGGGTTGGTTAGGAGACTTAGAAGGTGGTTAAAGTCTGTACTTGGCCCTACTAAGTGTGGCCCATCCTGACAATTCTCAAATCCCTTGTCAGATTTTCATTCAGTTTTGCTTAGATGTGTCAGTTTTAGGGTATTCATGTGTAGCACCCTCTAGTGCACTACAAGAATAATGTAGTGTTTTGCAGGTAAAATCATTGTGTATGACTCATGCTAACTGTGAGTCTGAGATTGAGGCCGGGTTACTGCAGGTCAGCTGGATGACTTACCAGGTTGTGGCTCTACTGCCTCCTCCTGACTCTGGAGCACCAGAGGTTTTAAGCTGGAAGAGGGGGGAGACCTAATTTGCATGTTTATGGGAGTCTGGCCAATCCTGGGTTTGGAGTGGTGGACTGGCCATAAATATGGGAGAGTTAGGCTGACAGAGGAATTGTTTGGAAGATGAAGTGCTGAAGAGACCGTCGGTGCCTGGGAGGGGTCTCTAGGTCAGCAGTGCAGCATGAATGGAATCGAGACCTGGGAACAGTGGGAGCAAAGAGGACAAAGTGAGTACCTCAGCACACCTTGGGATCGACAAGGGGAAAGACTGCCACATGTAGCAAGCTTTCAAAGGACAGTGTTGGGCTCAATCCTTTATCCTTGTCCTGGTATATCCTCAGAGCAGCCAGGAGGGGTGGTAGTGTCTGCAGACTGTGGAGCTGGGAGCAGTTCTACAGGGGAAAGGAGACATCACTGCATGCAGCTACAAGAAGCTAAGCTGATTTTTGGGGGGCGACTAGTTCCTCGCCCATAAAGGGCTGTTGCTACTGATCCGTAAAGACTGACGGCTTTCCAGGAAAAGAACAGTCCAGGATCTGTTTCTGTACATAGGAAGGAAGCTGTCCCCCATCATTGATTCATGCCAAAATGGGCATCCCTTAATCCTTATTTCCCTATCCAAGTTATTTATTTCCCCTAATAAAATAGCAAAATCAATCTCACAGACTGTCCACTGAATGTGGAGCAAAGTGTGAAAAATGCTTCTTGCCTGGCTATGCAGAGCTTAGGGGTACCCACAACACAGTGGCCCTCACAAGTGTAGCGCTACACATGCTTTTTGTATAACGTTGATGCATGAAGGTGTCTGAACCCTATATCAGTACCATTTGATCTCCTGTTAGGTCATATCTAAAATGAACTGAACATATTTGTCTGCATCTCTGAAATGTCATTCAGTCTCTATCATTTTTACTTTAGCCATGGAGCCTGCATTATCACCTACCAGTCATTCAAATAAACTCAGTTTCAAAGTGCAGTTTATCTGTTGTAGTTCTAACTTGTTTGATCCAAATTATTGCAAAGAAATTCCTCAAGGTCACGGGTTGCATTACATACAAAAAGATCAAACCATGTAAATTCTATTTTCGTGCAGCTTGATATAACTAACATAAAACCTTTGGACTTTGTTAATGGGAATGCATATATTGAGTTAATGGAAAAAAAATAATACCACATACAGAAGCTGTCTTTCTTGGGTTTAAAATCCCATATAAGGTATTACATGCTATCTAATTAATTGTGAGAAAACAGGAATATGGCCTAGATCTGGCAGGCAGATAACTGCATTCATTTTAAATCTTGCAAAAGAAAATATGTATGAAATCCAACTGTCATATGTGACACCTTCATGTTTCCTTCTTTCTATTTTTTTTTTCACAACAGTGCCATTGTTTCTAGCAAGGACATAAAATGTGAAAAAATTCAGAGATTTGTTAGACAAAGACCATTAAAGGGACAGATTAGTAAACTAAACTAAAGAGAGGTAAATACATAAAGTGAATAACTGTTACATGTGTTTACATTTTATGCAAAGTTTAGAAGAAAATGTGAAGGCCTACAACCTTAGTCTTTCTTTACCAATAAATAAAGTTAGCACCATTTTACTAGTCAACACAAACTAGCCATAAAACACCATGCAGGGTAAATCTATTATTGAAGCCTTTCTTGCTCAGACAGTGCTCCAATTATAAACAAGAAATCATGATATACAACCATTTAATAACACTGAGCACCAAATCTAAAATACCCTATTGTGCATATGTAAGTTTATTGGTATTTCTGTGTATTTCTCCCCAATCACATAAAGACTGCATTATGCCTCATGAAAGATGCCCCAGGCTGTGGCACATTAGTTAATGTTACAGCAGTGAACTAAAAGTGTGCAGCTGTGGCTGCTTCTAGTTCAAAGACCTGCCAAACTGACATTTGGTGTGTCTGTGAATATACAGTCATGGCCGAAATTGTTGGCACCCTTGATATTTTTCCTGAAAATCAAGTATTTCACACAAAAAAGGTATTGCATTAACACATGTTTTGCTATACACATGTTTATTCCCTTTGTATGTATTGGAACAAATATAAAACAGAGGCAGAAAAGCAAATATGACATAATGTCACACAAAACCCCAAAAATGGGCTGGACAAAAGTATTGGCACCCTTAACTTAATATTTGGTTGCACACCCTTTGGAAAACATAACTGAAATCAGTCGCTTCCTATAACCATCAATAAGCTTCTGACACCTCTCACCCGGAATTTTGGACCACTTCCTTTGCAAACAGCTCCAGGTCTCTCTTATTGGAAGGACACCTTTTCCCAACAGCAATTTTAAGATCTCTCCACAGGTGTTCAATGGGATTTAGATCTGGGCTCATTGCTGGCCACTTCAGAACTCTCCAGCGCTTCTTTGCCATCCATTTCTGAGTGCTTTTTGACGTATGTTTGGGGTCATTGTCCTGCTGGAAGACCCAGGATCTTGGACGCAAACCCAGCTTTCTGACACTGGGCCCTACAGTGCGACCCAAAATCCTTTGGTAATCCTCAGATTTCATGATGCCTTGCACACAGTCAAGGCACCCAGTGCCAGAGGCAGCAAAACAACCCCAAAACATCATTGAACCTCCACCATATTTTACCGTAGGTACTGTGTTTTGTTCTTTGTAGGCCTCATTCCGTTTTCGGTAAACAGTAGAATGATGTGCTTTACCGAAAAGCTCTATCTTGGTCTCATCTGTCCACAAGACGTTTTCCCAGAAGGCTTTTGGCTTACTCAAGTACATTTTGGCAAACTGTAGTCTTGCTTTTTTATGTCTCTGTGTCAGCAGTGGGGTCCTCCTGGGTCTCCTGCCATAGCGTTTCATTTCATTTAAATGTCGACGGATAGTTCGCGCTGACACTGATGCTCCCTGAGCCTGCAGGACAGCTTGAATGTCTTTGGAACATGTTTGGGGCTGCTTATCCACCATCCGGACTATTCTGCGTTGCAATCTTTCATCAATTTTCCTCATCCGTCCACGACCAGGGAGATTAGCTACAGTGCCATGGGTTGCAAACTTCTTGATAATGTTGCGCACTGTGGACAAAGGCAAATCTAGTTCTCTGGAGATGGACTTGTAACCTTGAGATTGTTGATATTTTGCCACAATTTTGGTTCTCAGGTCCTCAGACAGTTCTCGTCTCCTCTTTCTGTTGTCCATGCTTAGTGTGGCACAGACAGACACACAATGCAATGCAAAGGTTAAGTGAACGTCTCTCCTTTTTATCTGCTTTCAGGTGTGATTTCTATATTGCCCACACCTGTTACTTGCCCCAGGTGAGTTTACAGGAGCATCACATGCTTGTAACATTCTTATTTATCCGCAGTTGTGAAAGGGTGCCAATACTTTTGTCCAGCCCATTTTTGGAGGTTTGTGTGACATTATGTCGAATTTGCTTTCTTTCCTCCCTTTTTTTGTTTTGTCCCAATACACACAAAGGGAATAAACATGTGTATAGCAAAACATGTGTTAATGCAATACGTTTCGTGAGAAATACATGATTTCCTGGAGAAATATCAAGGGTGCCAACAATTTCGGCCATGACTGTATATATATATTATATACAGTGCTCTATGTTATTTCCTCTAGTGTTTAACCACCTCCCCGCCTGCCATATAGTCCAATGACGGGCGCAAGGTGGATCTCTCGTTCTGGGAGGACCTCATATGACGTCCTCCCATTCTCACCGCGCATACGCGCCTCCGGGAGTGCGCAGCGGCGATCGGCAGTGCGCTGTGTCCCTCGGACACAGTGGATCACCGATCCACGGAAAGAGCTGAAGATGTCGGCTCGGTCATATGATCAGCTGTGTCCAATCACAGCTGATCGCATGTAAACAGGGAAATGCTGGTTATTGACATTTCTCTCCTCATGAGCTGTCACGCTGACAGCTCGTGAGAGGAGGAGAGCCAGTAATCGGCATTCCTTAGAGGGGACACGTGCACTGATCATCTGGGCACTGATGGTCAGTGTGCCCTGATAATCAGTGTAGCCCCAGCAGTGCCACCTGTCAGTGTCCATCAGTGCCAACTCTCAGTGCTCATCCATGCCACTTGCCATGTGCCCATCAGTGCCATATTTCAGTGCCTACCAGTGCACATCAATGCCACATATCAGTGAGCTGCCTTTCAGTGTCACCCACCAGTGCCAGTCAGTGCCACCTATCAATGCCAGTCAGTGCCACCTATCAGTGCCAGTCAGTGCCGCCTATCAGTGTGCATCAGTGCCGCCTATCAGTGTGCATCAGTACCGCCTATCAGGGTCCGCCAATGCTGCCTATCAGTACCGCCTAACAGTGCCAGTCAGTGCCGCCTATCAGTGCCAGTCAGTGCCGCCTATCAGTGCCAGTCAGTGCCGCCTATCAGTGCCACCTATCAGTGCCATATATCAGTGCTGCCTTTCAGTGCCCATCAGTGATGCCTGTCAATGCCCATCAGTGCCACCTACCAGTGCCTCCTTATCAGTGCCCATCAGTGTCACCTATCAGTGTCCATCAGTGCAACCTATCAGTGTCCATTACTGCAGCCTCATTAGCGCACATCAGTGAAGGAGAAAAATCACTTATTTACAAAATTTTATAACAAAAACAAAAAAAACTTTTTTTTTTCAAAATTTTCAGTGGTTTTTGGTTTGTTTAAGAAAAAATAAAAAACCCAGAGGTGATTAAATACCACCAAAATAAAGCTCTATCTGTCTAAAAAAAATGATAAAAATGTCATATGGGTACAGTGTTGCATGACCGCACAATTGTCATTCAAAGTGTGACAGCGCTGAAAGCTAAAAATTGGCCTGTGCAGGAAGGGGGTATAAGTGCCCTGTAGGCTAGTGGTTAAACCAATATATATATGTACTACAGTTTAAAATTTCTCAATCAAAAAATATTCCATATTAAAGTCCCTGTTCTTAAATGCAAATAGTGTCCGTCGCTCCAAAAAGTAAAGTGTTCAGTGCTGTGTTTCTTCCAAGCCAATATTCAATTCATCTCATTTTTCATCCAATGGTGACTAATACTCCACGCTCCCCATCCTGCTGTAATCACCATGATTCTCCATTTCCACACCAGAGAACTCAGCAGATCTCCACGACCCCCTAATTTACAGTGGGTCAATCAGCACTTGTATCCCCCAGGGATTAAACCATCAAGAGCCTCCTCCACTCCCAGATTATTATCTTATACCACAAATATCATGGGGAAGAAATAAGTGTAAAACCATTTCACAGAATGAAATGAACTGGATATACACCCTAGATACAGTACTTTGACACCGTTTGGACTGAATATCGATACTTAAATATCTTTATTGCTACTTATAAATGTTATTGAGATATGGAGGTGCAATAGATACCTATATGTGTTCGAAGGTTTTTATTGGAGTTTACAAATAGGGTTTAACCACTTCTCGTCCGGCCCATGTACATAAACGGCTGGATGGGAGCAGTGCTGAAGCGGGTTACCATTTATAAACGGCCCCCGCATTCACTGCCTGTGCATGCTCCCTGGGAGTGCGCGGCACCGCAATCTGGTGCCAGCTGTGCATTCCGGACACAGCGGAACACCGATCACTGTACGGGACCTCTGTGTGAAGTCCTGGTTCATGTGATCCCTGTTTGGCCAATCAGTGATCACATGAATAGTAGTACACAAGATGTCACTTCTGACATCATTGCTTACTATTTGTGAAATCTGTGAATGATCACAGAGGCCACATGGTACAAGGCTATTCACAACAGCCTTGTACCATGTGACAAGCTGTGACCAATCAAAACTCTAACAGTATTTCTCAATGGCTGCAAGAATGCAGCTAGAGAGAAGGAGAAATGATTGCTTTTACAGTCTTTATGGGTATAAAAGAAATCAGTGTAAAAAAAAGAAAAAAAAAATCTTCATCACCACCCACAAGTAAAACAGTGTCACTATGGTGACACTGTACTACTAGGGTGATGGTATGTTTAAAAAAAAACATAAATAATATTATAAAAAAATAAAATAAAAATGTAAAACAAATTTTTGAAAAATTATAATTTTTGGTTATAAACTAATTTGGGTTATTTGTTTTTTACTAAAAAGATAGCTGAATACATTTTGGCCAAGATTTCTGAAGAAAGGTTATTTATTTGCAAAATTTTATAAGAAAAACACTTTTTTTAATGTTTGGACTTTTTCATTTATATAGCTAAAAATTAAAATCCCAGTGGTGAATAAATACCACCAAAATAAAGTTTTATCTGTCTCAAAAAATGCTAAAAAATTCATATGGGTTCAGTGTTGCATGACCGCGCAATTGTCATTCAAAGTAAGATAGTACTGAAAGTTGAAAATTGGTGTGGACAGGAAGGGGGTAAAAGTGTCTGGACTTGAAGTGGTTAAAGTGGAAGTAAAGGCAAATTCTAACTAATTCTAAGCCTACTCTCAGCCACATTCTAAGCCTAATCTATCTAGCCCTGTAAAGAAAATATTCCTATACTTACCTGTTCTGCAACTGCCCAGTCTGGTCTCCAGCAGCACCTTCTGTGTGCAGGAGACAGCCAACGATGGCTGGGAAATGCCTGGGAAGTGATGTCACCCATAGAGTTACTATAGGGCTTCCGTTGTCCACTGTCTCTCCTACACACTCCTAGTGGCTGCAGAACAGGTAAGTATAGTGATTTGTTTCTTTATAGGGATAGATAGATTATTCTTAGAATGTGGCTAAAAGTAGGTTTATAGTTAGTTAGGATTTGCCTTTACTTCCACTTGAAGTGCAATATAAACCTGCCATCATAGAGTACTTTTAATACAAAGGAGTTTGATCTTAACTTAGTTAGTTATGGAAGTAGACCAAAAATATCTAGAAAAGCTACAATTTCTGGGGAAATTGTGTGAAGTGTTCTTGCCTCCACCAGTAGTCTACAACTGGAGTGGGTGGAGAATGGGTGGAGTGGCTTGAGTAACTGTTGTGTGGTTGGAGTGGCTGGAGTAACCGTGAAAAGGTTGGACTGGGCAGAGTAACTTTATGGAGTGGCCAGAGTAACTGTGTGGAGTGTTTGGAGTGAGTAAAGATAGTAAACATTACACTAACCAATTGATTGATCAAATTTAAAAAGTGCACATGGCAAGCTTGATAGTGTGAGAAATGCATTTCAGCTTTTATTTTTCAGCTCACACTCTAGCTTTTGTCACTCTGCTGCCTGCTCACACACCTGGGTTCCTATGGCAACTCACTCTACAGCAAGGGCAGAGAAGAGCAGTTAAAAACAAACTGCTCCAACTTGCTCACTTCACTGGTGGTTGCCATCTTCAAACGGTTGTAGTTTAAAAATTATAAATCCTACACTGAAGAGCTTTATATTGTGAGAATCACAAGACGCAGACCTACATTTTGATGCATAGTGTCGGGGATCGCCGCGGCGCTGGTCTCGGCGCAGGCGCAGTGCACCACCCTGTGAAGGGACACGGGCACTAGGGCTGGGCCGACCGCGGTGATCGAGCTCGCGCATGCGCAGTAGAGGCCGCGGGCGCGCGCCTGGCACCAATGACAGCGCAGGACGGGATATTTAAATGGCCCTGAGCTGTCATTCAGTGCCTTCTGGTCTTATTCTGTATCCTGTATCTGCGAACCTGTTCTTGTAAGTTGCTGACCTGACCCTGCTGTATTCTCCTGCCCAGACCCTTGCTTTGCCTGACCTCTCTCCTGGATGCCCCCTATTGGAACTGACCTGCTGTTGCTGACCTGGCGTGTGACCCGACTATTCTCTGCCCGCTGCTTTGTACCGCACCGTCCCCATAGTTACCGACCCGGCCTGCCTGACTTTGCACTTGCTCAGCCATCCATCCATCCCTCTCAACGGGGTCTCCAGACCTCCTCATATCAGGCTCTCTCCCGTGGGAGCCCCTGGCGAATACCCCTACCACTGATGGGTATCCTCAGTAGTCACGACCTGGTCCTGGGGTACTCGAAGTCCATCCCCACCATCAGGGGCCCTGGGGCTTAGACTCCGTACGCTGGGGACGCCTGATCAGTGGAGTGCTAGTGGTGTCACCGGCGGTCCTTTACACATAGTATGTCTCTGAAATATTAAAAATGAAGGCACAGTTGCAGTTTAGACATTGCCCTTCAAATTAGAGGTGGCTAGAGTGGATTTTCAATGAATGTCAATGGGCGGCGTGAGTTGTAAACAAATGGTCATATTGTGAAAACTATCAGGACTATGGCTTAGCCGTGGACATTTATAGTGGCAGCAGGGATAGCTGAACGTTTTGATATAAGATTTGTGTAGGTGGGCTTGAAAATGAGGGAGTGATGGCAGTTTAGAAATCATGTCCTGATTTTTCAGCTCGCACTCTAGCTTTTGTCAGCTCCCACTCGAGTTTTGAACATTCCGCCATTCATTCCTATGGGACCAATTTCACCACAAAAATGCAGATATTTGTGAACCATTCAGCGAAACGTTCCACAAAGTAATAGCACACCAATCGGGAACAATCCGCACATTTCGGTATATTACTGTCTATGTAGTGTAAAAACTGTGGGAGGAGTTAGGGTGGTAAATTTGGCTATAATAATAATATATATGTGATATAACAGTAAGCGGTCTTGCCATGCAAGAACACTTAATGAGTGATGCTGATCACAGCAGGGTGTGGAGCATGAAGTTTAATATTAGTCAAGATTGTATGAAAAATGAGATGAATTGAACAGTGGCTTGGAATAAGCACAGCACTGGGCACTTTACTTTTTGGAGCACTGGAAACTTTTCTCATTTAAGCAAGGACACTTTATATGTAAAATGTTTAGCTATTTCTTGATTGAGAATATTTATATTGTGATATTTATATTGGTTTAAACATGAGAGGAAATAACACAGAGTTCTGTATACAGTATATATGAGTAGATTGTTAAGATGCAGGAGCTGGAATAGTATATAGGATCCTAATATACTTAGGTGCATTTATCATCTCATCAAACTGACATTTGGTTATGGAGATTGGTTATTTAAGCTTGAATGGTATCTGATCTCGAAAGCAGCATACTAGCATTTTCAAGAAGGTAGCTGTACAGATCAGAACAGAATCTCTGTCTACCAACAGCATTGATTTCAATAATCTAAATTAGGTATTCCTTAGGATTCCCCCCTTTCCTCTGTTTTCTGGTATTACCAAATGGTCACTTACTTGTAGGTAATACACAGGTGGAAGATAAAGCAGTATTAAACCCAACAGCAAACATTTATTATATTGCAGCTTACAATTCTTAAATATGATGGCTGTATTCATGTTCATTTTAGGCATTCTTTCTTCTATTTTCATCTGGTGATCCCAGCAGTAAGTCTGTTGGTTTTTTTTTTTAAACAGTAAGCTTTCCAGCACAATGCATCAGTTTACAGGGTTGAGACAAACCATTTAACACTGGCAGAGGAGCTTACAATGACCAGCTTTTATTTATTTATTAATGTAAAACCTTTATGAGCTGCAGCTTGGATTTAATACGTTAGTATATTTAAATCTGCTAGTACATTTAACACTCCCCTTCCCTCAGACTAACAATGCTGCTGTCTGCTCTGTCCCCTGTGCTTCATCATCCAGACTGGGTGCATACTAATACAGGAGGTGTGTCACTGGCCAGATCCCATGT